ACATATCACCTTTCTATCTGATCAAGATACTCAAAGCTCTTTACAACACAATCTGTGCCTTCAGTTATCCATTCATACAGCACTCTATACAAAGCTAATCTGAATCTGTAGCGACTAATCAGAGCTTTATCACATTCATACACTGATGGGACACATCGGAGGCAATGAGGGGTTCAGTGTCTTCCCACGTGCCACTTCAGTATGTGACTGTTGGTGGAATTGAACCCCCAACTCTTCCATTAGAGGACGACTGCCCTAATCGCTCAGCCACAGCCGCCCCACAAAGTGAAATTTTATGTATTTTTTTGCTTCTTTTTTTTTTTTACACCAATTAGTCACCAATGTTCAACGCTCAGTGACACACAAGCTGTAGATTTAGTAAGTCCCAAAAGGTTCATGAGTTTAAGAGAAGAACGTTGATGCATGTTGGGAGTTTCAGGCAGTTGAAGAGGTGCCTTTCAAATATTTATTTAAATTATTCTTGTTCTATTATTACATTATTGATTACACATCTCCTTCCTTTTTGCAAGGCTGTTGCAATTTTTCCTCACATTTTCCATTGTTCTGTGGTTTTAGGTTTGCCAACTCCAAGTGGACCAACCAGGGCTCAGCAGTCCTCCCCTCCAATCACCAAGACTGGCCTCACCCTCCTGAAGGAGTGCTGTGGTTTTACGTGTTCCATCATGTAGACCAGCCCAAAACAGAGTCCCAGTGAAGGACTGGTGAAGACTCACAGACCACAATGACCATTCCAGACAAGAGTGCATTTCCTGTTTCAACCATTCTGTTCAAGATATACAGAAGGCACAGTTGGAGCTGTGCACACCTGTTGAAAATGCTGCAGTATTCATATATTTCAACTTCCTGTTTCTTTTGTTTTTTCTGATTTTCAGCCTATTTAAAAAGGAAACTGCATCATATAGCACATTAATTGGGTTCAACTCCATGACTTGCTCACACGTTATATATTTAAAGACTTCCTGGAGCCACAGTAATTGTCTTCTCCTTATTAAAGTAGTAGCTGTGTTGCAGTGAACAGACCAGCCTGTGCAAGCCTGTGACTTTATAATTACTGTATGGGAGACAACACTAATGGAACTGACATTAATAAGAAGTCGTGCTGGCATAAGATTTGTGTGTTTAGCTCCAGAGGAAAAATGGATATGACCTTTTGAAAAGTTGTGGTTTAAGAAACAGGAAGCCGTGTTTCAACAACGTGCTTTATTTTATGACTCAGTTCCTTTTTAATTGTTCCAGTATTTTTCTGCACAAACTTCCACATGAAGAATGGTTCTGTAAACAATAAATTATTTTTCTCTGTGTGTAGAAGAAGTAATCGGATTATCAGTCATTTTTAGTAGAATTAGTTTTATTAGTTTATGTTATGTCATCGTTTTGATTAAATAAGTTGGTTCAACACTCAACTGACACAGGGTACCACATCACACACTTTTAACACCCACTCAAGTCATTAAAGTCCATAATTCTCAAGCTGATTTTCAGGCTGTTTGCAAAACTCTTCCGATAAATAATGTTTAGCCCATTCTGATAGATGGTGTTCAACTTGTCCATATAGTCATCTGTAAACACAACGGGACACAGGGTACAGGGACATAATGACTGGCTAATATGTGTTGCAGCTCTGGCTGTTGGATAAAGAAAAGTTGCCATGGCAACCTGTTATAACCCATAGCTTTACAGTCAAACAATGAAAAACTTATGGCTCACTGACATGAAACCTGATTCACTGAAACATGCTACAGTGTGATGCAAAAGTTGTTTTTTTTTTTCATTTTGTTGCCTTAAAACAAGGCATTTAAACAGATTTTCAATTAGATAATTTATGGACTATTACACAATACATCAGATTACGTTTCGCAAAGACAAAATATAAAACATGAACATGGTCGGTTTTCTCAATCGTCACCTTCAGAAGTTAGATAATTAGTTGAATATGATCCACCTGTAGAAAATTTAAGTGTCAGAGATGATCTCAGTATTTTTATACCTGTTCTGACAGTCTCCAGAATCAACACCAGTAAAACAGATGAGGGAAAGAAAAAAAACTTTGTTTGTCAAAAACATTAACATTTCTGGTTCCTGAGCTAGTGGAGACGCTGTCTACTCTGTGGTACAGAGTCCTGATGACTCCTAACTTGTGCTCCAAAGGGTGATGGGAGTCAAACTGCCAATACTGGTCTGTGTGGGTGGATTTGTGGTACACCTCAGTTTGCAAATGTCCTCTATCAGAGACTGAGACCTCACAGTCCAAGAAAGCCAACTT